AACTGGTGCAGTGAGTTGCTTCTCATTTCTTAAACAACCACGTGGAAAGACATGGAAAAAATGTCAGTCTGTTTGAGAAGGGTCAGATCATTGGCATCAAGCAGAGAAAACATCTAAGGAGATTGTAGAGACTACTAACAYTGKGTTAAGAACTGTTYRACACATTATTAAATCTGAAAGGATAGTGGACCTATCATCTTCAAAGATGCTCCCATCAGGCAGTGCTATGATGTGGGGCTGCTGCAGKTGGTCAGGTCCAGGTTCAGCAACAGTTTGTGCTCAAAGAATGAGGTCAGCTGACCTGAATATACTGAATGACCAGGTTAGTCTATCAATGGATTGTTTCTTCCCTGATGACATGGCCATATTCCAAAATGACAATGCCAGGATTCATCAGGCTCTTATTGTGAAAGATTAGTTCAGGGAGCATGAGACATCATTTTCACACATGGATTGGCTCCACAGAGTCCATGGAGAATCTTTGGGATGTGCTGGAGAAGGTCAGACTCTACCATCATCAATGGTGGATCTTGGTGAAACATTAATGCAACACTGGATGGAAATAAATCTTATGACAGAACTTGATCAAAATAATGCCACAGTGAATGTGTGCCGTAATCAAAGCTAAAGACGGTCCACCCAAATATTGGWGTGTGGGACTTTTTTTTATTTTTATTTTTTGGTGACGACGTTTATTTTTGYATCTAAGTGTTCAGGTGCTCCAGACGAAACAGTTTGGTTTTCCCATAAATCGTTTGCTGAACATTTTATTACGATAAAAACATCATGAATTTGTCCCGTGATTATTGACTTGACCTTATCCAACCCCGACATAACTAAGTTTTACAGTAGTTTTTTTTTTAAGATTTTTTATTTAATGATCACATTTCTTTTTGAAAACATAAAACAGGTTTTTGACAAATAATGCAGTTCTTTAATCTTAAAGCCAATGGCTGAACTGCCAAATAAGATCTGGACTTCATTCTCCTCTGATTCTGGGTCAGACTCTGGCTCCAACATGTAAGGCTGGATGGACACGTCTTCTGTTGTTGACATCTTTGAATTAATTTATAAAGAAAATGTTTCTGCTCTTCTGCATTGCTGCAAACCTCTATTAAATTTGAATGGACCGGTCAGGAGTCTGGTGGGTGTGAGAAATGGTTTGGATTTAAATAAACAGCATCAAAATGAGTTGATCTGAGACACACCTGAGGAAAACTGTGGAAGAGGGGCTTGTGGAGTTACAATAAGGAGGAATTCAGACCAAAGTGTTGCAGTTCAACTTTACGTAGAACCCAACTGAAGGATTTAAATGTAAAAAGGGATTTAAAAGCATATATCTCCTTTAAAGTCATCAAATCCACATTCCAATTGTACAAATACATTTTGTACAGTTTGTTTACTTTCTGATTCAACTGCCTGTCATTTGAACTGTGCTTGGTGAATGTAAAAATTGTTTCAATGCGCTTTTAGCCAAGATTCTTAGCTTTCTAAAGATGCCAAACATGTCCAGGTTCAACTGACAGTAAAAGAAATAGAAAACGGGAAAAGCTGTTTTGGGGCTCAACAGAGGCGTTATGGTCAGACACTGCTCTTCATCAGGTCAGTGATTGATCTGTGGACCAAGAAAACACACGAGAAACTTTAGTTTTCCTTTTTATTGACTAGGTCCGTACATCGCAAAACTTGTGCTCACAAAGAAAAACCTGTCAGTTTGTTAATGCAGGGATCAGTCCAACGGTGAGCTTTAAAAGTGGCGTAACGAGAAAACACCAGCCCTCTTCAAATAACTTAAGCCTTTACCGAAATATAACAGCTGTGGGGTTAGTAGCAATAACTCAGGTTAGATGGTAAATAAATGGCCCAGAATAAAATGAAGCAAATCTATTGATTGGACATTTGCTTTTCCAACAGCAGTTTACAGTACAAACATTCATCTCATGGCTACTGAAACTCCCCACTTTAACTTTCTTAAAAAACTAAAAACTTAAAACATAATCTCAATCTGGGAAAAGCATGATCCATGGAAGTGCATGAAAGTAATACTATGTTGGTGTTACAGTGGGAAACAGTGTTATGAAAAGACTTACTGTTGTAAACATWTAGAGATGAACACAAGATAAAACGAGTCGACTCTACAGGAAAACAAGTTGTGCTAAAACAATCCCTTTATTGAAAGCTTTGTGTTGAATTAGTTTGGGTCTTTGGGAACTAAACAGATTTTTTTATTATGACTTTTTGATTGAGCAAACCTGTGACTGAAACAAGCAGCCATGTGCAATTTTTCTGAGTGTACAGTAGACTCACAAAATCCGCTGGTTGCGTTCTGAAAGAAACCGGGGGAAAAAAACACAAATTTTGGATGTAGTCCAAAAAAAGCACCAGAATGAAACATTTGTACATAGGAATTTACTTTATGTTTCACCGGGACACCAAACACTTGGAATAAAAATAAAAATATCTGGCATTAACCCCTAGAAAAATGTACACTCAAAGCATAGTTCACTCAGAGTAGGGATGTACGATATGTTGGCACTAACATATGGGACGATGTTGGTCATTTTTCAGAATATCAGTCCGATAAGTAAAATTTCGCCGATATTATGTCTGATATTGATTTCCCACTTTTTAGCTTTGTGTTTCTGTTTCTGGAGGGGAAATGGTTGGTGAAGCGGCATCTGTTTGATCATGACTGTGATAGTGATGCTGCACAGTCAGGAATAACTGAAGTAGAGAGCCATGTCAAAGGTCTGGTTGTTACCTCCACCAAGGGGGGGAGGAAATGTTTTCGGTCGCATATGTCTGTCTGTCGTTCTGTCTGTCTGTGAACAAAATGACGCAAAAACTTGACAGATTGTCATGACATTTTTACCACATATGGGTATTGGCACAAGGAACACACCACTAAATTCTGGTGATGTTCCGGATCATGGTGCGGATACAGGAATTTTTCTTTTAATTCAACCGAATCAGACAGGCTACGCAAAGTGTCATGACATCAGACGCACGCCTGTGACAGGAAGTAGAAGTTGCAAAGTCGCTGGGACTACACCTCCCAGGATGCCTACTATCGGGAAGGTTGTGATTATTCTGTTATCATCTAGTATTTGTGAYGTTACTGCTGTCTGGAGACATAGAAAAAGAAATGTGATTCTCTTCACGTTACGGGAATAACTGAGAAGACGCTGACAGTGGGGGAGGGCCCAGCTGTAGCCGAGCCAAAGCTGGTACGAACAGCATGAACAGCTGATCAGTGGTGGGCACCGCTAATCCAAAAATTAGCTCCGCAATTTCTAAAGCGCTTATGAAAATATTGAGGTTGGCAACTTCAAAAGCCCTCATGCCATAGAAAAACTAGCGGAAGCTAATTTTAAAGCGCAAGTTCATTTTGACACTCACTAGCTGGCAATAATTCATGTACAATATATGCACAACACTGCCAACTAGCAATGTATGAACTCTTTTACAAATTAATTAACAACCGCCGATTGCTGGGGATGTGATTTCCTGAAACAGACCTTTGGCTTCTGTTGTAAAAATTAAAAGGTTGTTGAGGATTGCTAGTT